ATGGACCCGTGTCCGGCACACTATTTGAGGAGCATACCTCACTAAGCTTCAAGAGTGGGCGCAAACCATTGGCCTGCAAGAGGACACGTGCTCGTAATGTTCGAATCTGACGGGAGAAGGGTTATCAAAGGCGCAGGTCACAAACCTCATCCGCAGTGTCGTGGCGGGATATGACCCGGATCTCAACCCATTTTGGTACCGGGGCAGCTCGATGAGGGTGACGGGGGCCAGATACATGGCCTCGGACTTGGGGATCGACGCAATGGCCAGTCATTGGAGTGCCAACGAAACCTTGGCCTATCTGGGCGAAGCACCTTTGACTTCCTTGTCAGTGCACGTAAGGTCGCACCTGAGTGTGACTGTGGATCCACGTGCATGGACCCAGAAGACCGACATGTATACATCAACCCCGGTCAGGTAGGCGGGGGACTCTATCCGGGACAAAGCACATGCCAGCAGACGCATCCTTCAACGTCCATGGGCCTGTGACCCTGCCCGTTTGAGGGGGGCTTCAACAATAGGCCAGCGGCCATACTTGGGAAGCAGCACTCCACGTTGTTTCATTCCAACTTTGTGGCACTACGAAATCATTGACGAACGAGAGTGTCGCGACAAAAGTTTGGCTGAGCGGCTGACGATGAGAGGTAGAAGGAGCTGTATAATCTGTTACTAGAAATGTTGTTTGTGTGTTTCTCTTGGTTGGATTTAAAAGTTAGCTTATCTACTCAGTTTCAACATTACTACTTACTACCGGTAGTGAATGCCTAGTTGTCTCCTTGCGCGACAGGTCCGAGGCTTAGTCAGACGATAGAGGTTGCAAGTCCATGTCATGCATTTCTACAGCGTGCTTTGGTCCCCCCCCCGCGGTGTTTAAACGTATTATTGGGGGCGCGCACGTCTGGTGGTGGGTTTCTATTGTTGGCACGCTCACTTGGGCTGAGGCTGGGATTTGGGACCGCAGCGTGCAGGCAATTTTTTTTGGGAGCTGAAAGGCGTCGTTCAATGTTTTGGGCCGGAGATTTTGGGGGGTTTTACTCTGGAGTCGACCGGTTCATACCTTGAGGAAAAATTGGTACAGTCATTCCTATTGCTTGAATAGGGGCATGGGCATGCCTGGATGTTCTAAGGTACTTGAAGTCCAGGATGTTTGGGGACGCCATTGGCTAAAAGAGGTTCTTTCATTGAAGGTGACTTGACCCTCGCTTTATCAGAAAGTGGCAGCCATAAGGCATATGTTTGGAAGTGTTTTGTTTTCTCACCTGAGCACACCCAATATCCTCAACTCCTGGTTCCTGGGGTCTCCAAGAATCGATTCGGGGTTGAAAGTACTTCCAGCAAGCACCTGGAAAAGGTTGGTTTCTATGTTTTAGGACGTTTGCCTCTGATTTGGGATATGCCGGCATGGTGTTGGCCATGTTGATTCTGAACGTGGGGATGCGTGGGGACATATATCCCAAGAAGTCTCAATTTGTTCACTGCCAATTGACTCAACAGATCAGGCTGGCTCAGTACTTGCAAAAAAATATCATTGGGACCACCGGACCACTCTGGCAGCTCACCAGCCAGAGCATTTAGGTGTTTGTCTTGAAAGATGTCCTTATCCCAGATGTACAAGACAACCAATTTGGGGTGGTCCATCAAACAGCCTGGTGCTGCAACTAACCAAGTCACTGCACGATTTGGGCACAGGGGATGCGCCCAACAACATCACCGTGTGCTTCTTCAAAGATGATGATCCTGCTGAGCCTCTAGTGACTCGGAGACATGGTGAGAGCGGACTGTCCTAGACGTTCATTCTTGTACACGGATGTTATAGATAGAAAAAGTGTTCGATCGGTTTTGGGTGCGCTGTCCCAGACACCAATATACATGCTCACTATGTCTATGTCTAGAGAACCACTGGCCTACTTTTGCCTGACTCATCTCTCAAACATTGAGCTGCCACCGTTCATCAAGGGGCAAGGATTCTATTCTTGGACATGGCAAATCAAAAAATAACATGAGGGACTTCCTTTTCTGATCGCCGCGCCGTACCTCTCTTGACACCTTCAAGTGTTCGCCCAGATGGAAAGAACGGTTTTTGTCCTGCCCTCTTGGTCCTGAATGTGTGTTGCTTCACCAAGCCACTCCCTCTAGGGACCCAGACCACCTTTTGGCCCGAGGCGAACACGGATGGTGCCCAACAAGCATTAACAAACCAATCCAACTATACTATAGTAGTCCTCTGAACACTTTCCTCCTCACTCCATCTTTGGCCAACGGGCAGCGCAAGCCGAGGATTCCTTGCAGCGCATGCCGGCCGGCGACGTCTCCGAGGTCGCTGAGCTCGACGCGACCGAGGCCGCCGAGGTGTCGCCGGCGGAGCCGTCGGTGACGCCGTTGAACACGGCGGAGTTTGCGGAGTCGGAATCCTTGGGCACCTGAACTGGGAGAGGTCGAGAGCAGGAGCAGAGAGGGACATAGGATAGACAAAGGACCGGGGTTTTACGGGGGGAGAGGTACGTGGGACATAGAGCCGAAAATTCGGGCGGCCCCTCAAAGATCTCTAGGAAGGGGGGCCAAACTGGGAGAACTGGAGACACTGGAAAGTCCGGTGGTATTCTTTTTTTTGGAGGGCAAGTGGGCAAACTGGAATAAACTGGACATGTTGGTTTGTTTTCTTTTCATATCCATTGTGCAGTTGCTGGAAGTGCAGTTTTTGTTTGTGTGTGAAGATGCCGTTTCTTTTTCTGGTTGTCGAGTCACGCGTCACTAGAGGCGTTGTTTCCAGAAAGACCCACCCAACGTGTAGACCGTGTAGACCGTAGTCTGATAATGACCCAGCCACCCCAAAAATACCAAGTCTATTTGTCGAGTTTCTTCGTAGCACGAAGACCCTGCTTCTGGTTGCCGTGGCACTCAAAACGAAGGTTCCAGGCAGGTGGAAAGCTGAGTTGGAAGTTGCAAACAAGTCAAGCTGCATACTGACAAGTTGTGGAGTTGAAACCGTTGGGTTTATTGGACATGTTACATGTCCAGGTGTCATGTTTCTCCTGCCCGACCGTCGTTGTGGTCCAAGTCATGGGATTCCGATTCCAAGTGCAGCTTTGCTCGGTGCGGCTGCTGCTCTCGCCGATCTGTGGGTGAAAACTCCAGCGTTGCCATCCCCGGAATCTTCGGAATGTTCATCGAGAGCCAACGCCAGACTTGGGGTAGTGGACTTGCAATTATGACTGTTGAATTTCCAGTCCCATGGAGTGTTTGGCCAGGGATTATGGAGGAACATCCTGATTGGGCCATTCTCTGGAATCTTTGGAAGTACTGTCGCCCCACTATAGGTAAGTGCTCCATGAAGCTATAGGACATTGCTCAGCAGCAAACTGCAACATGTTTGAAGTCCCCTAGTGACGTGAGTCAAAGCCCTGGCAAGAGAGAGGTCGTTCGTGATCGTAAATAGGACCCGTCACCTGGGATAGTCAAACAGGGTTCTTCAACCTCTGTTGGTGGCTGTGATGATCCTGCGAGCCTTTGGGAAGTTGTTTTTTCTTTATGATTCGCTCATCAAGCATCCACAGACTTCAGTGTTTCGGCATGTCACATGACGGGAGGAGGTGCCCTGTTTTTTGAACTCGAAGGGGATGGCATACCAAAGACGGTTTGTACCAGCAGACCTTTAGAGCAGGGGGTCTATGAAGGCCTTCAAGGCTCAGAGTGAGAGCAGATGCATGGGAATCATCCACCAAAATATGCCAAATGGGACAGGTTTCGTGGCCCTTGTACCGATCCTGTACCCTGTCCAGCACACTGAAAAAGGGTCCAGTCCGTAGTCGATAGTCCAAACATGAGGCAGTTGATGGAGACTGGCGCCAGGAGAGCAGTTTATTTGGGATCCACATGCCCTCTGAAAGGGTCATTGGAGCACTGTAAGCTTGGTGGATCCAAGTAGCTTCGACGGTATGTGGATCTGTAGGGATACGCAGGTTTTGCCAACGCCATGATGCTTTGAGCCACTGTATTCTGCAACCCATCTATACAGCGTATGAACGTTCCTTTGGCGGCTCCTGGCCTTACTCCGGCCATCGCGGCCATGTCCATCCGGCTCGTACTTCGGTGCGCTCTCGGGAAGAAGACCGGGACCCGGGTTTGCAGCCCGTCTTGTGCTGAACTGGTACGTTGATGGTTCTGAACTGGCACTCCGGTCCACGTTTCTTGTAAAAAAAAGGGATGACAGGAAGAATCAGAAGTCTTCCCTTTTGAATCCTTGACCAAGGCTTTTGTCAAATTGATTTTTTTTACACATTGGTGTGTAGCCTTGATTGCGTGGATTTGACTCCCAGCTGCAACGGAAGCTCCCCGAAGAACCGCGCTGGCCAGGGTGAAGATCGGTTTAGGAAGCGAGGAAACATCTAAAGAATCTTTAAGAACCTACCACTGACGGCCTTGGTTATAGCATGCTATATAGCTATGGGCTGCGCATGGCTGTGCCATGTCCATCTTCACGCCCGCCCACAGATTCGCCAACCCGCGGCGGCCAATCGAAACGGTTTCACTGCGCTGTCGCGTTGCGGAAGGTGCCGGAGGTTGGAGCCAAAAGGGTCGAGACTGGTGGGAGGAGGTTGGATTGGTTGGAAGAGTTTTGGTCCAAAGTCACAGAGACTTGGTGACTTGGCCATTTTTTGGGGGGGGCGTGCTGAGTACTATTCAGCTATAGGGCCTTTGATTCCATGGGCCGGTTTGATATGGTTTTGATCAAAGTCAGCAGCAGGCACTCAGCTTTTGTGTGGTTCACCATGAATTTGCTTCGGTGAACGGCACAGAGAACGGCCTCAAAGGGTCCGGAGCTGCCCGGCTTTAAGCCGACCGGCGGAAGAGGTCGTAAACCTGAGAGGCTGATCTATACGGAGGGAATCGGGATCTGTGTATACTGTGTGTTCCACTCACTTTCAGAGTTCTAATTGCCATGTGTATCCCGTCCATCGTCTCACCGGAGCTACCCGATCAGCTCAGTGGGAGTTACCCAGGTGGACAAGCAGGCGAACTTGGAGAAGGCGGGGCCAGTTTCCACTCGTTCACCGGAAACGAGAGGTTTGTTCCGCTGGAGGCTGAGCCTGGTTGGTTTGAGAGGTTGTTGTAAAGAGGTCGGCTGAGCCTTGGATCCCCAAACCCGACATGGGACGTTTGTGGTGTTTAAACGTTCTTGACACGCTTTTAGGCCCACAGGGGTGGGGTTTTGCCAGCTATTGCTCACCTGCAGAGGATGGGATTCGAGGCGGAAGCAGACCCCCAAAAAGGGATGCACGGGACCTGCATGGGATTGGGGTTGGAGGCTCAGGTGAGGCTGCGTTGCATCCAGGCCTCTTCTACAAAAAGACATGTCTTCTCCCAGACGGGTGAAGCACCTGCAGGCTGTGAAGGTCGTGGTGGATTCCAAAACGCAATATTGCCGCCCGCCCGGCGCTGGGTGGGGCCCGGACGCCACCAGGACCTGGTTTGGTCTGAGGTTTGATGCCGGTGACGACCAGGTGGATTGGGCAGGTAGACGATGGCATCCAGGTAGAAATTCCTGGCCATTGCGAGAGTCATGGCCAGAACCCACCAAGTGGTGTCGCAGGTCTATTTTTTCAGGAAGCTGTCAGTAAAGGAATGTTCTTTGGAACCTTGGTGCGCAGAGTGCAGGATAGAGGCCACCTGGGCTTCACACACGTTCAGGATTGTTTGCCCTTTGGTTGAGAGGGGTGTGAGGTGCACCCCTGATGGGTACATTGTTTTTGACAAGTTAAGTTCAGTGTTTAATTTATTGGGATGTGCTTTGCTGCTTTGTGTGTTTATTTTGCAGGTGTGGACCCTATCAGTCATGCGTGACAGCAAAAAGGATTTGCAAACTGACTGATGTGAATCTACCGAAAAGTCTGGGGACCTAAAAACATCCCTAAAGTATCCTAAAGTAATCTGTTTTGCACACACAAAAGGCTGATTCAAGAATCCAACGGTTCTTCCACAACGTTTGAAGACATGCTCTTCTTACCAAGCTGATGGAGACTCCGGCTTTTCAGATGGTGGGTCTCCCGTGTGCAGACTCTGAGTCCAGGTTTTGAGCCACCGACTGACTAAATGAATTAATGAACAATATGTCAAATGACACATCAATCGATCAATCAATTGTACAATTTGGCAAGAAAACAAACAAGCGTCCTCTAAGTCCCTCTCTCATTACCTCTGAAAAGGGCGTTCCCTGAATCTTTGGGTCTTTCAGCATTTGTTCGGCACGTCCGTCGCCACAAAAGAGAGGTGTTTCAAGAGGTCCATCCACACCCTCCAACAGAAAAAGAGTTTGCCTGAAGTGTCTCGACTTTTCAGGATTCTTCATCTTTGAAGCCCAAAGGCCCGGTCTTTGATTCCAAAGGCCCATCCTCTTGGCCGGCCCAGGTGCGGCCTGCAATTCCATGGAGACCTTGCTGGTCCATGAGGAGGTGCTACGTGTGACCGGCGCAATCACGCGCGCGTTCGCCGGTGTTCGTGTAAGAAGACTCATGATCGTATTATACACCTGTTGTTTGGATGGGTCAAGGGTCAGAACATGTGTTGCACCTCAGATGGAAAACATCGGATTTATTTGAGTTTTGTCAGGTTTGGAAGAGTTCCTAGTGCAGGAGTTCCTCCGTTTTGCAACCTGTTTTTGGGCCTGAAGTCTGCAGTTTATCGCCTGGAATACAAGTCTTTTGACCCAACCTCCCCATTTTCTGAGACACTTGGGATCGCCAATCCGGTCGGGAACACCTTCACCATTTGGAACACCTCGACCATCGGAGGTATGCAAGGAATTCTTGCCCAAGTTGGCCGACGCGCTGGCCAGCAAGGAGGATGTGAGGTACAAGGCCTTCTCGATAACCACCGCGAAGCTTGGTTGGGGTGGGTGACAGGGGGGTCCAACCCGCGGGACAGGAGCCCTAGGGCTTACGCAACGTGTTATTTTGATCGCCCGGTGAAGGTTGTATCTTGTCTGTTGCAGTTTTTGTGGCTTCAGGTCTTGGTTTTAGAAGTTCAAACAGGGATCGAATTTGACAGGCTAGCAGCTATATAGAGATGAAAATGTTGTGGCCAAAGTATGGATATTGTTGGATCGGGGGCTGTGAGGTCGCAGCGAATTCATGGGGCTTCGCTAGGCTATGATAGGACTTTATTTTTGCGAGCAAAAAGCGCCTATTTTCAGTTGGGTCATGGGTCGAGGCTGAGCCCGATGGTGGATGTGGGTTTCGGGTGAGGGAGCGAGTTGCGGGGCCGCCGAATGGAGTCCCTGGGGCTCATGGACATCGTCTAAACACTTTTTGACGGATGCTATG